GTGTGCGTGTGCGTGTGCGTGTGCGTGTGCGTGTCCGTGTGCGTGTGCGTGTGCGTGTGCGTGTGCGTTTCTGTGCGTGTGCATGTGCGTGCATGTGTGCGTGTTCGTATGCGTGTGCGTGTGCGTGTGCTTGTGCTTGTGCTTATGTGTGTGTGTGTGTGTCTGTGTGTGTGCGTGTGTGCGTGCGTGCGTGCGTGCGTGCGTGCGTGCGTGCGTGTGTGTGTGTGTGCGTGTGTGTGTGCATGTGCGTGTGCGTGTATGCGTGCGTGTGTGTGTGTATGTACGTGCGTGAGCGTATAATATAATATATATATAATAAAAACTATTTTATTAACACGCTATAAACGGTACGGAAAAATCGCACACGTGATATATATGGAACACCTTTTAATCATACGGACGACTGATGTAAGTGCTATATACGCTGAGACAGGACACGCGTGCTGTTTACAGCAATCAAATAGAACCTGAGTCTATTATTCTTTCATGTCTCCTCATTCGTGACTTCACAGACACCCCTATATTATTATCCTAGCCTCCCAGTATACAACATCATTTATATTTCCTTAATTATAGCATATATATAGTTAGTTATGTTGCTCGCATATAATTTAAGGGACAAGCAATTTATTCAGGCTACAATCTTCCCCGTGTCTAGTTCGCAAACCGAATCGAATCCAGCTTCGCCGGAGAAATTTTGATGAAAGCGGAACATTCAATTATTCATTATACATGGCGGCCAGAGATAATTCATCTACCGTAATAACGTACATTTGTCTCGCGGACGGGAAACGCCACGAGATGCAATGCAGCGGAAATAATTCCACGGCGAGGTGCTTTATATTTCACCTGGCCGCGCAATTAATTAGTTAACTCAAGCAGAGAGCTAAGCTAGCGCATTCGAAATCGGACTCGAGCTATATACGCATATATGGCAGGCGAGGTGGGACACAAATGGTATTTGTAGGGACTGTCACTAAATAATTTAGTGTCTATCATTAAATCATTTAGTGTTTGTCAATAATTCCATGCCTATGATTGGCTGAGAAAAAATAAGTTGTATCTGATTGGTTGATTTAATGACTGTCACTAAATGGAATAGATGATAGTCACTAAATACCATTTGTGTCCCACCTCGCCTGCCATATACGTACGCGTCAGACGCTTCCTCGTCGTTATGGTAATCCCCACCGTACGTGTACGGTAGAGCGCGTTAGGACCAAGTTGTGGCGAATGAGTTTTAATTAACCAGGATAACGGTTAAACTTAACAGTCCCTAACTAGTCTTTACATTAACATGGGTGTAGTAGTCACTGACTAGTCCTTACATTAACATGGGTGTAGCAGTTACTGACTAGTCTTTACATTAACATGGGTGTAGCAGTCACTGACTAGGCCTTACATTAACATGGGTGTAGCAGTCACTGACTAGTCCTTACATTAACATGGGTGTAGCAGTTACTATATATAACTAACTCTTACATTTACATGGGTGTAGCAATTAGTGACTATAGCTCTTACATTAACATGAGTGTAGCAGCCGCTGACTAGCTCTCACGTTAACTACCTAGGGTGTATTAGTCACATTAAACAACGATGATCCATGAGATGTTCTCTTAAAATGTTCCACTAGAAAATTCTCCTGCGACATTTCTTTATGATATTTTTCTACAATTTACCCGCCAATACTATGTTAACATATACAAGATTACGATCAGTCATGCAATTACGCGAATGCACCTTATTCTAATAAAATAATCCCCTGTAATGTTTTCCTGAGATGTTCGCGTGTGATTAGTGACTTCAGTATATTCATACGCTATCCCATTAATGTGTTTCCTTCATGATTCTATACCATATAAACCCACGTATTCTCCTCTTTATTCTCATACGATATTTAATTATTATAATTACTCAATATATTCTCTATTATATACTCTTACTACATTTCCAATTACATTTCCACACTATGTTTTCCAATCTCCTACGACATTCATTTACGATGCTATCTCACTATATCATCTATTATCTCAAGATAACCTTTGTGTATATTCAGAAATATTTCTTTACGCCACACTCGCGATGACTGGACTCTGGACATTCTCCATTAGACCCCATAGAACATCTTTATTACGAGATCGGTAGCTAACCTTGCGTGAATTTCTCTCAACGATTTTCACTGATTTTCGTTAACGCATATATTGGTTACCGCTAGCGAACATTAGCGTCTTGGTATCAATGAGAGAAACCCGATACCAATGAAAGATCGATACCAGCGAGACAATCGCTAATGAAATAACCCGTTTCGATATGTGCCAATTGTGAAAGCAATCTCAACGCATCGGCGGGACTTTATAACACAAAGTCGGCAATTAACTCAGCTCGAATTTGATCAAGTTCTCCGTCTTCATCCTGAAAGCATGTCAAGGTGAAACACTTCGAACAAACAATTCTTCAAATTCGAGTCGATCTAATTGTGTTCACTCACCTTCAAAGTTGGAGATTGCTGGACGAGCCGGACGACTTTTCCTTCACCGAGTCACACTCTACAATGTACATTCACCGATTTCGGGAGATAGTCTCTGTGTGTATGTGCCTCGCGTGCGTTTCGAGTTACTATACTCGCGTAGAGAGAGAAAGTATGTGTGTGTATGTGCTAGCTACACAGCCCGCGAGTGCGGGATCGTACGCGAAAGCAGGCGTTCGGATTTCCCCAAACGCAACTTTGCTATTATCCACAGTCTTCCGGTGCCTTTCGTTCAATGCGTGTCCAGTCGTGGCGCGTCAAGCTATATGCGAGTTTAAATACGCACGGGCAGAGTAGGAGCTCCAATCAATCGTCATGCACGCGCTCGCGCCACCAGTCTTGACGATGAGACGGCGGTAGTGCGCAGGTACGAGCTGCCGGTGGATGCAGGCAGCGTACCGCGTGGGGGCGCGTATACACGTCAGCAGGCGACGATAGAGCGTAGGCCCTACACACACACACACACACACACGCGCGCGCGCGCACACACGCACGCACGCACGCACGCACGCACGCACGCACGCACACACACACATCGTCCGCATTGTCGCTCAGCAAGAACATCGGGTGGCGTTTTCCGCGTGCGGATATTATGAAGTTTGAAGGGCGGGCTTGAAGGACACGGGAATTCTGAAGCTCCGCGTCGTCAGAAGCTAAATTAGTCTTGATGTTGGTCTTAACGTGAACATTTTCGCATAGACCGGACCTCTATACGCTGCGTATGACAAAAACCCGTAACTTTACCTCGTTTCTGTCAACTGTGTATGTGAGAAGTTAAGACAAATTTTAAGACAACTTTTGTTTCTCACAACGGGATCTCTGGGAGCCGCACCGGCGGGAGCTAGGCGCTCTGGTCAGTTCACCTCACTCCACATATGCCGGCTTTATTAGCTTTATTAAATCAACGGACACCGGTTTTACTCTCGGCGAAGTCCACACGCACGCGCGCACGCACACACACACACACACGCACGCACGCACACACGCGCACGCGCACACACAACACACACACGCGCACACACACACACACACACACACACACACACACACACACACAACATACATATA